TTAGTTGATTAGAGGGGCTGCCGGGCCAGAAGGCACTCCTATTCTTGATTATCGCATAATAGGAAGAGCTACATTCATTTCCCATGGCAACCAGAACAAAGAACTGCCAGAATCAACCCCAGACACACACACACACACACACACACACAGAGCTGTAAAACACTGCGGGACGTCCATCACACACTTGTATGTAATGGCGCACATACAAATATGAACACGCACACATTAAGCGATGACAGCCTCAGGTGCAGTTTCTTCCTTTGAAGGCTCTGAATGCACACACACACACACACACACACACTGAGCAGGATGAGCAGTACTAGCTTCATGTCTTCAGGCTACAAAATGCTGCTTAAAGCACAGCTACAAAGTGGGTTTCAATTCAAAGTCGTTTTCTTTCCCTCTTTTCCTCTCGTTGTCATGGCCGGCGTCCTGCTCTCTTTCCCTTCTCTTCCTTTAATTTGTTTTGTCTTATGTTTTCTCTACAACTCTTCCCCACTCTCTGCACTGCCTCTCTCACTTGTCGCGCATTAGTAGCTTCCCGTAAACTTTTTTTCTCTCTCTCAGCATCGTGACTCTCTTTCTCTCTGGGTTCACAGGAGGCGTCGTCAACTCTCCGTCTTTCTCCTGCACCACTCCCTATATACCTCAGCCCTAAAGAACAACTTCCAATATCTTTTGCTCTTTCTCTCCTTTAGCATCTTTCTGACCAGCAGCCAAGAAACAGCTCATAGCTACTAAGTGATTGCATTTTTAAGCACAACCAGCCCTCAATACTTGTGTGCGTGCTCGCTCTGGATGACATTACAGTTTAGAGGCCTGACATTTCCTCCCTGTCTGAGTCCAGAAACTATTTGTCATTACAATATTTATAAATGATCTAATGAATAAAACATGTAGCAGAAGCTTTAATGAGGGAGCCTGTTGGTCTGTGTCGAGTCAGTATCCTAATCTAACTTGAAAAGCAACGTGAGAAAAATATCAAAGACGCTGAAGCTACAACGCTGACAGCAAAATATCAAGTCCAAGCACTTTGGCATATTTATGACTTTTGGTACCAAATGCACTACAGGAGATATGCATAGCTTTCTTGTCATTTCTTTAAGTAGTCTTCAGGAATAGTTCTCCAGGCTTTCATTCAAAGCTCTTCTTTGGATGTTTGCTGCCTTTTATTCTGTTCTCTGTCAAGATGACCCCACACTGCTTCAATAATGCTGAAGTCTGGGCTCTGGAGATGCCCATCCATGACCGATGTTCCTTTGCGTGTCCTTCTAGCCAGCTATGCTTTTACTGCATTGGCAGTGTGTTTGGGATCATGCTGAAAAATGAAGCCAATCAGATGCTTTTCAGTTGTTACTGCATAGCGAATTAAAATCTGATGGTACTTTTCTGCATTCATAATTCCATCGGTTTTAAAAACACCAACAGCACTGACTGAAATGCAGCTCCAAACCATGACAGAGCCTCCACCGTGTTTTACAGATGGCTGTAGACACTGTTGTACCTCTCCTGACCTTTTCCAAACATACTGATGAACAGTTAAACCAGAAATGTCAAAACTGGATTCATCACTCCATCAGACATGTTCCCGCCTATTTTCAGTACAGTTCTCATGCAATTTGGCATAACTCAGTCTTTTTTCTTTCCCTTCATTAAGAACGGCTTCTTGAGAGCCATCCTTCCACCATCTTTAGTGAACAGTAGATGGATCGACTGAAGGGCCAGATACATCTCTCTGGTCGTGTGTCAGGTCTTTGCTGGATTTCTTTTTCTTATTTCTTAAGACCATGACTTTCAAATACTCTTCATCTGCTGTAGATACTTGTTTAGTTCTTTTGTTTGCTACTTACAATTTAATTCATTTTTTAAGAATATGCTGCACAGCATGCTGAGATATATGTTTTCTACTGATAGTGCTTTGGGAACGTTAGTGTAAAACATTTTCTGCCTGTTAAACTCTGTTATCTTTGACACTTTTCATAGATTTAGCTCAAGAAATGGGAAGAAATTTTGTGTCTTTGTCACAGCTGTTAACGGTACACTTAAGACAACACTGATCCATCTGCTAAGTTAGCTTATTAATGATTGAAGGATTCATAGGTTAGTGTTAATGGCATAATAAACAAAAATCACTCCTTTTAAATTATCGGCTACAAGGACTGTAATATAAAAGAGTGAAAACCAGCCAATATCTAAAGGCAATAGTTCAAGAGCACTTTAAACACTTTAAAGAAAGCCTGGATCCTTGGAATATATAGTATATATGTTAAGATGTTTGTTTTGTGCCAGAGTAATTGAGCCTGCTGCTGGGATGGCTAACAATACTTAGTATTTGCAGTGAACAGACATAAAACACATGTGAGTCAATAAGCTGTCCATAAACTTACAAATCTTACTTCCTCTGCAGTGACATCGTGGTGAACCCTGTACCCGGTCCCGTTGTCTCTCGGATCGTGACATTTGCCCGGACCTTTACCCTGGGCGTGGCTGGTGTAATACCGGACAAATCGTGAGCGGCGGACCAGCAGGTGAAGCAGGAAGCACAGCATTTCCATGCTGATGGAGACGAGGAAGAAGATCAGCGTGTTCTTCTTGTCGTCTTTGATCAGCAGCTTGGTGAAGATGCGGGACAGCGAGATGATCACCCCGGCCGTACCTGAGGAGGGTACGTAAATGATGAAGGCGATGAAGAAGGTGAGGAGGATGACAAAGCCTGGCAGCGAGAGCTAACGTAAAGGTGTGTGCTAATCGTTGAGTGTACTTACTCTCTCCAGTCATTACCCCCTGTGTGTACCTCTTGGGCAGCATCCCCATGTAACCATAGAAACTGGACTGCTGCACTGAAGAGGGAGGAGGGAGGCAGTTATCAGTGTAAATAGAGGCCCAACAGTCAACATTGTAACAACACGATTTATTTAGAGGGGAACTTAATGAACCACCACACACCACTTGAGAGAAGCTGCTCTGACCCTCAGACCTCCACTAATTAAACTGATATTACAGCAGGCAGAAACTCTGAGTTCTCACTGACAAACACACAGAGGAAAACGGCTCTGTGTATTAAAGTCAGCAGCAGCAGCTGAGGACCAAAACCTCTATTGGGTTTGTGTTTATCCCAACAGGGGGAGCTCTGACACATATTTAGTTATAATTTATTATCCTTTTAATAAAAGTAATTATCCTTATAGCTCTATATTGTTTTCCACAAACTCATGAGGGAATTGTCTGGCTATTAAGGAGCTAAATGTTCCACTTTTTCTGCCTTCTTTTACAGGCTGAATCGGTGGTGTACAGGCTTTAGCAGAGTGCTGTTGTCTGCTAGCTGCCTGCAGACAAAACAGTACATTGTCTGTAAGCTTTTTGCTACGAGCCACACTTTTCACATAGTCATATACAACCAACAGCTCCAGAACTAAACCCAATGCAGGTCCTCTGATCTCCACTTTAGGCACAATTGAGACAATTTCAGAGTCCCTGAGATCAACCTCATTAAGGTGATTGTGTTGTTAGCGCCTTTTGGAGGGTTTTTTTCATGTAATTATCAGGTAGACCTCCAAATAAGTTTGTGCAACAGTTATGGTGATTCAAATTCTAGTATTTAAAGGTCTGTTACCTAAAGCTAGTATTACACGTGTCTGTGTTGCATCGGTATATTTTAAAAATGTAGCTTGCTAACCAAGCTAAATTGTGCCATCTGATATCTGAGCTGTGCACCTCAGCACAGCTCAGATATCCATATATGGTTAAGTGACCATATATGGTCACTTATATGGTTAAAAAAAACTCACATGAGAGCCATCATTTACATACAGCCTGTACAGTAAAACTAGCTAACATCTCTATAGCCTGGGACAGAAAAAGAGAGTATTTGCTAATTTCTCCCTTCATTAAAAAAATCTGCAGCTGTGAATTTTTAAACATTTTTCAAAGATGTTAAGCCTTAAAGCTTATAAGTATTGTTACTGCGTTGATTTATATGGGAGACAAGGCACAGGTGGCTGTAATAGCGGCTAATGATTGCTAGGCTTTTGAAAGGCTAGCAATCATTTCTCAAAGGCTGCTAGTTTCAGTTAAGTCCAAAATTACATGCAGCCTGTTTGTGGCAATTGTGTGTGATAAACTGATAAACTGGCATGTAGATGCCATCTACATACATAGAAATTCATATTAACTGCTTACAGTCATTGCACAGCCAGAACCCGATGGATATGAAACTGAAATTCTGAAATTTCTCCACAAAAAGTGACATAATTGCTGCGTCTCTGTAATTTAACTGCAAAATGCAAGAAGTGCTTGACCACCTCGATTTTATATAGACTACAACCAGAATGCAACCAGGTGCCAGATAGCTGAGCCGAGTTCCCTACTGCAAAGAGCCACATCGCAGACAAGTTGCGCTAATTGGTGCAGATGGACTCTGCTGATTGTAACATGTTGGCAATCTGTCTTTCTAGCCTTTCATCCAATTATAGTTCATCTAGTTCCAAAAAGTCAAGGCTGCAAGGATGTAGTCAAGAGTGGCTCTTTTGCCTTTTAAGTGTAGTCTACTGTCATTCAGTTCGTTTAACCATTATTAGGGTAAAAGAACATCAAAGTACCTGTACATCCAAAGGCCACCACTCCCACTGATACCAGGTTGATGACATAAGCCTGCTTGGTGGTGAACTTTTCCAGCCAAACGTCGAACACGCTGACAAAGATCAGGGGCCCCAAAGCTAAGATGTAACCTGCAGAGAGAGTGACAGGCTGAGTCAGTGATCCAGGTAATGTTGTGACTGCAGGACTGAACACATATTTGATAAGAGTGAGGAAACTATATGTGAGGCAGTTCATTAACTCTTTAACCCGGGGATACGCTCTCAAGCTGACAACAAACTTCAAAAGACCTTTAACCAAAAATACAAGCACAGCTATTTTAAGCAGCAGAGGCTATTGCGGTGAAACCCCGTTCTGAAATTTATCATGTATGTGCAGTGATCTCAAACTTCCCGGGAACATGCATATTTAAAGAACGTTTTATCATGATTTTTTTAAGAGTGAGCTTGAAGGGCTTTAATATTTCTAGGTTCATCTCCAATATCACAGTTTGAGAATCATTTCTGCAAAAATGTAGAAACTTTAAAAGTAAAACAACTTTTAATGAATATTTTTGGCCACATCTCTCCAGTATCTCCAGGTAAGACTTTAACAAACATGATTTTAAACCAGCCTGTATGTGCTCGCCTGTTACCGAACAGCTTATTCAAAGAGCATATCAAATCACCTTTAAAGATGTTTTTGAAATATGAAAACAATCTGAGGAAGATGCAGATGAATCCTGAAACCGCTGCTTGTCAATTCACAGTTTTCGGCAAAAGCCAAAAACGGATCTCCTGTGGTGTTTATGAATAAAGACCACAGGAGATCTGTGGAAAAGTGGATTTTTCTTTATCTTTATAACATTTTCCCATTTTTGCACACTCTGATAAGCTTTGAGCTTCCTGCTGTTTTTTTGACAGTTGTTACTACTGCTGGAAGTAGTGCACCGTTTTATGTGTCCACACGTGAAGGACAGCTTGTAAGGTTAGGCTTAAGAATTAAAAATAAAACTGATTTTAACCAGCAGTGAAGTTTTTGGCTTTATGCTTCGTGTGTGGGAGTAAAATATGATTTTTGACTCATTAAAATGAAATATAAATCTTGGCATATCTTGACCGGCACTTCACTTTCAGCATGCTGTAAGGCAGAAATTATACACCAAAGCCATTAAGACAACATGAAGAAGCTTAACGAGGATTACAAAA